TCAGTCCTCTTTCCCTGTTTAAACAACGGTCAGCAGTTCTTGTCAGTAGAGGTAAAACTGTCAGTTGGTAACTACTAAACAGATGGGTATGCGATCACTCTCCTCATTTAGAGAAACACGTTCATTCCCTCGAGCACATTCTTAAACCGTTTGGTCCCAAGATCCCTGTGTACTCTTATTTTATTCTATTTTTTTAAAATGTAGTACAGCATTTAATATGAGCTCTAAAGTCAGCAGATTTTAAAGTCAGTATTACGGTTCATATCTCTAGCACTTCTTCTTTTTGCTGAATCGAAACTTTAAACCCGTTAACAGGCAACACTCCATCTCTCCCTCTGCCACCCAAACCTGACAACCATCAGATGTCTTTTGTCCTTCATGCCGTGTTTATCCTGTGACCGGTTCATTTCATTTAGCATAACATCCTCCAGTTTTTTCATGCTGTCCTGCATTCCAGCATTCTCCTGCTTTTTAAAGTATGCATAGTATTCCGGGCACCTAAGTGCCACATCTGCTCTCTACTTTCATCCATCAATAGACCTTTAGATGGTCTCCACAGCTTGGAGACAATGCTTGTGAATAAATGATAAATACAGGGCTTCAGGATTGCTTTAGATCCTGATTGCCATTGTTGTGTGTGTGTGTGTGTGTGTGTGTGGTTTTTTTGGGGGGATGAATACCCAGAAGTGGGATTGCTAGAACATATGGTCATTTTGAACTTCCAGATCGATTTTCTTAGAACTTCACCATTTTGTATTATATTCCCATCAATAGTGCACAAATATTTGAGGTAACCACATACAATTGTCTTTTTCTGAGGAGAAGGGCTGAAGACATAGTATAGTGGGTCAGAGTCTCATCTAATCGGTGGCCAACCCAGGTTGATTCGTGACACCACTTGGCTCGCCAAGCACCACAAGGAGACATTCTCGAGCCCAGAACAGGAAGTAAGCCCTGAGCACCACTGGGCGTGACCTCCAAACCCAAACAAACAATTGTCTTAAAAAAAATACTGCAACAGGTGTGATATCTCATTGTGGTTTTGATTTTCACTTCCCTGATGATTAGTGACAAGTGACATTGAGCCTCTTTTCATTTATCCACCGGTCATTGAATGTGTTCTTTAAGAAATGTCTAGAGATCTTTAAACCCATTTTTAAAATAAGGTTGTCAGTTTCTTTGCCAGAATGTAGGTATTGTTTTTGGAAGGGATCCCTTATTAGACATGTGATTAAAAAAAATCTCTGCCCATCTTGTAGGTTTTTTTCCCCTTACCATTGATGTGCAGAAACCTTCTAGTTTGATTTAATTCACTTGTCTACTGTTGCTGTCTGAATTTTGGCTTCATATCCAAGAGATCATTGCCAAGGCCAACACCATAAAACTTTCTCCTGAGGCCTTTTAGGAGTCTTACAGTTTTATGTCTCTAAGTCTTTGATCCACTTTGAGTTGGTTTCTCTGCTTAATGTATGGTCTAGGTAAGAACACATATTCATTGTTTTGGAATATGTTTATCCAGTTTTCTTGCAACATTTGTTGAAGTGTTTATCCTTTCACTGTGTGTGTTCTTGGAACCTTTACTCAGTATCAGTGATTGGATACAGGTGGATTTATTTCTTGGTTTTCTTTTCTCTCCCATTCGTTTATCTGTGTATCTGTACTCTTGTCCCATTCGGTAGTTTAACTGAATCTAATTTTAGAGTATACTTTGAAATCAGAGTAGGTGATGGCATCAGCTTTGTTCTTTTTTCCAGCTTGTTTTGCCTATTCGCAAGTGTGTGTGAGGGTTTCTATATGAATTTTTCAATCTCATCCTTCATTTTCTTAAAATTTATGGGAATTCTAAGGAGTACTTGTTACGTGGCTATGTCTGTAAATATTTAGTGTATTAGAAATTAAAGTTGAGAAAAATCTAAAGGATGAATTTACAAGACTATATCCTAGCAGCCATCAGATCTACAAAATTTTGTTGCTTATTCTAATAGGCTAGGAATGTGTATATATATATATATCTAGGAATGTGTGTGTGTGTATATATATATATATATGTACACATTCCTAGCCTATTAGAATAAGCAACAAAATACATATATATATATATAAAATCTTTGGGGGTTTCATACCTAGCAATGCTCATGGATTACTCCTGGTTCTGTGCTCGGGGGTCATTTCAGGTGAGACTGATGGAAAGGAGGGGATAAGGGGTGTTGGGAATTCAACCGGGTGGACCATGTGCAAGGCAAGCATTCTCCCCAACTGTCCTATCTCTCCAAGCCCCCAGATATATATTATTACTGAATAAGAGTGAACAAATTAATTTACATCCTAAAATGACAAATCTACCCTGCAGATTTCCGAGAGGCATAGGGTCCTTTCAATATCTTTAGAACATCAGGCATATACTGATTCAGATCACGATCACGATCACGACCATCCTGTTATTCGTCGATTGCCTCGAGCAGATCCCCGTCTTACAGCAGGGACCTGCTCTAGGCGGGGGTCACGCAGATTCAGATATTTGGTGATTATCCATCAAGTATTCTATGCTGCGAATTCCACCTATTGTGGTAGGAGAAATGAAAAATATGAGAGAACTTTCTTGGTATCGAAGAACTGACACCTGCATAAGACAACCTATGTAACTGAAAAATGATCTTATCTGCAGCACAGCAGAGATGCTTGACTTCATGTGCGCACGTGTGTGTGTGTGAAAACTGAATCTTTTTTTAAAATTTTTTTTTATTAGTGAAACACCATGAGGTACAGTTGTAGATTTACAATTTTTTGTGCTTGGGTTTCGATTATACAATGATCAGACACCCATCCCTCCACCAGTGCCCATTTTCCATCACCATGGATAATATCCCCCCACCCCCATCCCCCCATCCCCCCTGCCTCTGTGGCAGGGCAATCCCCTGTGTTCTCTCTCTACTTTTGGGTGTTGTAGTCTGCAAAAGAGGCATGGAGTGGCAAACATGTTCAGTTCATAGTCTACTTTCGACATGCATCTCCCCTCCTGGGAGGATCCTCCAAACACCCTTTATTTGGTGCTCCCTTCTCTATCTGAGCTGCCCTTTCCTCTAGAATGCCCGGCTGGCCACTAAGCTATGGAGTAATCCTCCTGGTGCTGATCTCAGCTATTCTTGGGTATTAATCTCATATTTTGTTACTTTATATCCCCTAGATGAATGCAATCTTTCTATGTCTATCCCTCTCTTTCTGACTCATTTCGCTTAGCATGATACTTTCCATGTTGTACCACTTGTATGTAAATTTCATGACTTCATCTTTTCTAAGAGCTACATAGTACTCCATTGTGTAGATGTACCAAAGTTTCTTTAACCAGTCATCTGTTCTTGGGCATTCAGGTTTCTTCAAGTTTCTGGCTATTGTAAAGAGTGCTGCAATGAACAAACAAGTGCAGATGTCACTTCGACTATACTTTTTTGCCTCTCTGGGATATATTCCCAGGAGTGGTATTGCTGGGTCAAATGGGAGTTCAATTTCTAATTTTTTGAGAATCTTCCATACTGTTTTCCAGAAGGGCTGAACCAGTCGACATTCCCACCAACAGCGAAGGAGTGTCCCTTTCTCGCCACATCCGCGCCAGCATCGGTTGCTTTTGTTCTTTTGAATGTGGGCCAGTCTCTGAGGAGTGAGATGGTATCTCATTGTGGTTTTGATCTGCATCTCCCTGATGATTAATGATGTAGAGCATTTTCTCATGTGCTTTTTTGCCATTCGGATTTCTTCTTTGAGAAAGTTTCTGTTCATTTCATTGCCCCATTTTTGGATGGGGTTGGATATTTTCTTCTTGTGGAGTTTACCCAGTATTTTGTATATCCTGGATATCAACCCCTTGTCAGATGTGTATTCGGAGAATATCCTTTCCCTTTCTGTAGACTGTCTTTGTATTTTGGTCACTGTTTCTTTGGAGGTGCAGAAGCTTCTTAGTTTAAGATAGTCCCATTTATCTATCTCTGTTTTCACTTGCTCGGCCAGTGGCGTGGCATCTTTGAAGATACCATTAGCTTCAATGTCATGGAGGGTTTTGCCAACTTTGACTTCAATGTACCTTATGGTTTCTGGTCTGATGTTGAGGTCTTTAATCCATTTTGATCTTACTTTTGTACATGGTGTTAGGCAGAGTTCTGAGCCCATTTTTTTGCATGTAGCCGTCCAGTTCTGCCAGCACACTTTGTTAAAGAGGCTTTCCTTACTCCATTTCACATTACTTGCACCTTTATCAAAGATTAGATGATCATATGATTGAGGGGATATGTCAGTGTATTCAGCCCTGTTCCATTGGTCTGCAGTTTAGCCTTTGTTCCAGTACCATGCTGTTTTGATTATTACCGCTTTGTAGTAAAGTTTGAAGTTAGGGAGGTTGATTCCTCCCATTTTCTTTTTCCCAAGAATTGCTTTAGCTATTCGTGGGGACTTATTGTTCCATATAAATTTCAGGAGTGTTTGCTCCATTTCTTTGAAGAATGTCATGGGTATCCTTATAGGGATTGCATTGAATTTATACAATGCTTTCGGTAGTATTGCCATTTCGACAATGTTAAGTCTCCTGGCCCATGAGCAGGGGATATTTTTCCATTTCCTCATGTCCTCTTTTGTTTCCTGAAGTAGCGTTTTGTAGTGTGAAAACTAAATCTTAATCTTTGTGATCACTATTTGATTTTCGATCCTAGTATTTCTATAGAACAGATCTGTAAATTCACCCTCTTGATGTGATCCCAACTGCGAAAAAGTACCAGGAGTTTCAGTTACCTTTCTTGTCATCTGGTTAACCAACAGAATTTGTGTGATCAGCCGTGATCCTTCCTTCTCTTTATACACCAGCCTCTTTGGAGAGACATTTGTTCTCACAAAATGTAATCTAAAGATATCATTTTCCAACTGATGAAAGTATGATAGAAACTTGTGGGGGTGTCTTCTACCTTACCTTCACCAATTTGAGGGCCACAATGTAATCATTGACTTTTCCTTTTCAGATGCTTTTGAGATAGTGGAGTCACCAAGTCAGCCGGTGGTTTCGGCACCTGGAAAAAATGTCACACTCACCTGTCAGCTGCCTGTGGAATGGCCAGTAGAAAAAATTACCTGGGAGAAGATCCAGCCTCATCAGATCGACCTCCTAACCAGCTGTAACCTCTCCCAAGGGAGAAGTTGCGCTTCCAAGTACCACAGGAAGCTATGGAGTTCCTGCAGCCCAGGGATGCAGGAGAGCTCCCTCACCCTTCCCCAGGCCACAGAGTCTGACTCGGGACTTTACCGCTGTGACTTCAACGTCTTGGCAGTGGAAAATGCAACCTGTGTGATAAGATTGACAGTAGCGTATGGTGAGTAGTGATGGGGGCTTCCAATGTCAGAACTGAAAAAAATAATCGAGCTATTTTTTTTGCTGTCGGTTTCATCATCCTGTTGCACAAAAGATTTTTTAGTGTTTGAAATGTGGTCTGTTATCGATAATCGAATAGTAACCTCTATTTGTCTCTTTCTGCTGGTCCAGTGACCACAGATTTTACACCATATCCTCCCCATTATTTTAATTCTTAAAGAAAAACAAAAATCAGCACGTCTAAAATATACATGGTGTTCATATCCTCTGAGTTTTATTTGTGTTGTTCATTTGTTTTGGTTTTGGGGGTGCACCCAGCTGTGCTCAGGGCTTATTCCTGACTCTGTGTTCAGGTGCTGGTGCTCAGTGGATCATATGTGGTGTGTGGGATCAAACCTGAGTTGGCCACATGCAAGTTAAGAGGATTACCTCATTCCTAGCTCTCTGATTCCCACAGCCTCTGAGTTTTAGCTGAATAGATCTTATGTCCCTCTTGCATGACAGTGACAGATTGGTAGTTGACGAGTCAGTGTGGAGTTGAGTGAAATTCAATAATGTTGCTGCTAATTTTCAAATAATACTTTGGAGGGTTGGGGACAGACCCTTACCAAGTGGCTCCCAGCTCACAACTTAGCCCTCCGTGATGGCAGCTTCAGACCTCACAGAACTCAGGCGAGAGCCCTACGCAGGACGTTCCACTTGTTGAAGAGCACTCTAGAGAGGGTCTGTAGACATCTGCAGAGACCTCTGGGTGGGAAGAAGGTGGTGTGGGACTTCCTATGACCTGATAAAATAGCTGCCAACATGTTTATTTACCTCTACTCTCCCTCATTCTCTTTCTTCTTTCACTCTCTTTCCTTTGCTTCTAGAGGGCTCATTTACCCAGGTTTGTGTAGCTTCTCAGGGACAAGGCTTCTCTAGATTGATGATTCTCTGTTGTTTGTTTGGAGGCCACACCCAGCTGTGGACTTGGCCTGATAATGCTGCAAACTCATGTTTCTTCTTGCGGTGGGCAGGAAGAAGGACGGGCTTTGTGCATACAGGTGCCCAGCAGCAGGTGTCTGGGAAAGATGCTGTGCTGTGATGGATGGCACGTGTCATCTGTAACCACCTCACGCGTGTCAAGCCTTCTCTGTTCTCCCAGAGGGACCGCTGTGGCAGAGACATCCATTGTTCTTGGGACTTGGTAGGATCTTTGGGTGAGAAAAATGAACTTTCTTTATTTTCACTACTGATTTCAGTCCTTAAGATATGTATGAAAACTGTTTTTTTTTTCTTAAAAAGAACCCTTGCGCTATGGAAGTCTTTTGACAATGTGGCCAGGAAAAAGAATAAAAATAATCACTATTCTTTTCTCAAAGACCAAGGAAAGATAAATTTCTGAAGTTCAGGAAAATGTCATAGACAATCATTTTCAGACACATGAAATTAGGGGCTGGAGCGATAGTACAGAGGGTAGGGAGTTTGTCTTGCATACAGTTGACCTTGGTTCAATCCTTGGCATCCCTTATGGCTCCCTGAACACCACCAGGAGTAATTCTCAATTACAGAGCCAGGAATAACCCCTAAGCATCACCAGGTGAGGCCCCCAAACAATAACAAAAGCAACAACAACAACAAAATCCCAAGCACATGAAATTAAATTTTGTTCAATGTATGGTGGAGAAGTAATTATAGACATCATAACTGATAAGGAGAAATACTGTAGAATAAATTGCTGAACTCTTAAAATTAATAAAGCTCTTTCATTTGCTGAGATGTGACTAAGCTTCTTGCTAAAAGATCTTTAAAACAAAGCTCTTTCTCTGAATATAAGCTCTAAGCAGTCCATAAAATAAGGCTAGCTTAAGGTGATGGTCACTATTGTTAGTTTTGGGCACTCAAAATATGAAGGTTTTTTTTTTTGACAGTCAATTGGCAGTTTAAAGAATAGCAACTGGGTCTGTTAGTACAATGTTGACAAAAGATGATTGCATGTTAAAAAATATTCATAAGATGAACTATGAAGACAAATCAGGTGAAAGACAAGAATCATTTATGTATTTTTCAAATAGAACTTGATTACTTCAAATCTTGCGGATGTCTGGTTAAAAATCAATATAGGACTAAAGCAGAGAGACAGGTATAAGATGTGGAGCCGATTTAATTTATTTTAACTGTCAAGGGAAAGGCAATTGTGACACGAATTTTATAAACTGCTATGCATCCTTCTGCTACTTCCTTGTACAGGGTTCCGAACACTTTCAGACCCTCCTAGTCCGTACACACGGGGACTCTTCACCGCCAGCTCTCCGCCTGTTTTCATGCTCAGACAGGCACCCGAGGTCACCCAGAAGATCAGACATCAACCAATCCATCATAGAGCCAGGCCTTGATTTATTGAACAGAGGGAGAAGGTGGCAGTAGCAGGAATCAGACCTAAATTTACTATTGACTTTCTTTGCTGAATGAGAAGCAATACTTTCTCCTGTCTTTGTGCTCAGGACCTCGGAATAGTTTTAGATGGAATTTTCTGAATCTGAGATTCTCTAGACCACAGGTGCAAGGCCCAGGGGCTAATGCATGTAGACTAGCAGAAACCGACATGGGGTTGGGCTCTTGATAGCCTCTGGATTTTCATAAAAAAATTGTGGGGGTTCCCCCCAAATTTACGAAGCATTTAAATATTAATAAAATGATGTATGTCTACTATTATTTCATGAGCTTGTTGATGATGAAAAATAGGGTATCACTGTATCACTGTCATCCCATTGTTCATGGATTTGCTCGAGCGGGCGCCAGTAATGTCTCTATTTCTCCCAGTCCTGAGATTTTAGCAGGGTCTTCTTACTCATCTTTCCGAATGGTGCCATATTGGAGGCTCTTTCAGGGTCAGGGGAATGAGACCCTAACCCTAACCCTAACCCAACCTTCCCAATTGAGAAGTCCAGTTGCTCATACCCTTCTTCAGTTCCAGTCACTACTGCGGCCATTCAGGTGAGCCAAGTTACAAATGAAGCACTGTTGATGAGAACGGAGATATATCCATAGAGAGGAACGTGAGATGTATTGGATGGAGGCTGGGGGAACTAGGAAGTGTGTGTGTAGGTGATTGCAATCTAAACACCAGGCATATACTGAGATTATGGGTTCTGGTTTAGAATAGAAGGAGTTAGGTTCAGTTAAATGATAATTCACTGATGTTCTGTATCTCATATAATGCCACTGAAAATCATTATCAATTCCTGATCCAAGATGACACAATGGCAATCAATAAAGTGAAAGTCAGAGTTGAATCTAGAATGAGCAAAATATACTTAATTGTCAGACAAATGAGCAATAAATACTTAGTTGCCAGACAATCGGATAAAGAAATTATGGTACATCTACACAGTGGAATACTACACAGCCACAAGAAAAAATGAAGTCATGTACTTTGCTTATAAATGAATGAATGGACACGGAGAACGTCATGCTGAGAGAAAGGAGTTGGAAGGAGAGGAACAGACATAGAATGATCACTCATTTGTGAAATATCAAAATACAGAGTAGGAGACTAGTATCCAAGGACAGAGAAAACAGAGGTTAGGAGGACTGGTCCACGGTTGGAAGCTTGCCACAAGTATGTGCGGATCAGAGGAAGTTAGGATTGAGAGGAAACCATATGATAACAATAATTGGAAATGGCCACTCTGGACAAGTACTGATATGCCTTTCAGTATCTGTATTGCAAATCTTAAGGCCTGAGAGAGAGACAGAGAGAGAGACAGAGAGAGAGACAGAGAGAGAGACAAAGAGAGAAGTGCCTGCCATAGAGGCAGGTGGCAGGTGGTAGGAGGGAAACTAGGGACACTGGTGACGGCACACATACTCTGGTGGAGGGATGGGTTTTGGAGCATTGTATGACTGAAATCCAATCATGACCAACTTTGCAACTGTGTATCTCATGGTGATTCAATTTTTTAAGAAAGGGAAAAAAGTAAACAAACCCAAATTTCAGTTGCCATCAACAAGGCATAAACTGACCTCTCTGTCCAGGCTAGCGCCATTGCATATTGGGTCTTTGACACATGAAAGTGTCTCCTGAAAAATTATGGTTGATGCCTTCTTTCTCTCTCTCTCTCTCTCTCTCTCTCTCTCTCTTTAAATTTTATTGAATCACCATGAGATAGTTACAAGCTTTCATGTTTGAGTTACAGTCACACAATGATCAAACACCCATCCCTCCACCTGTGCACATTTCCCACCACAAATATCCCCAGTATATCCCCCCCCCTTTCCCACTCTCCCAATGCCTCCTTGGCAGACATGTTTCCCCATACTCTCTCTCTACTTTTGGGCCTTATGGTTTGCAATACAGACACTGAGAGATTATCATGTTTGGTTCTTCGTCTACTTTCTGCACACATTTCCCATCCCGACCGATTCCTCCAGCCGTGTTTTTCTTAGTGATCCCTTCTCTATTCCAGCTGCCTTCTCCCCTTTGCTCATGAGGCGGGCTTCCAGCTATGGAGCAATCTACCTGTCTCGTGTATCTACTATCCTTAGGTGTCAGCCTCATGTTATGTTGCTTTATACTCCACAAAAGAGTGCAGTCCTTTTATGTCTGTCCTTCTCTTTCTGACTCATTTGACTTAGCATGATGCTCTCCATGTCTATCCATTTAGAAGCAAATTTCATGACTTCATCTCTCCTAACAGCTGCATAGTATGGATGATGTCTTCTCTGAGTGGACAAATTAGAAAGAGGTGCTTTCTTCTGGGCTGATGTGAGCAAGGGAGCACTCAGGTTGGTGACAGGTCACAGGTTCCTTGCCCACTTTGACTGCCCACAGCTGGTCTGCAGAAGAGGAGAGGGAAGCTTGTTGGCATGAGCCGAGCATATCATTGTGCTTGCCACCACCTAGAGTTTTTCGGCCTTTCTGCTCTCTCCTTTCCCGACCAGCTCACTCATTTCCACATTTACCTCCTTTCTGTTAGTGCCTCAGTCAGATCCCGCCTGCTTTGTGATTTTTCTACATTA